TCTCTATGCATCAAGTCCAGACCCTTGTACGAAGCAAAGTGAAGGACAGGGTCTGGTTTAAATCAGGCCAAAGTTGATCTAGAAATGCTTTTATTCTGAAAGGGGTAAACTGGGTATAACAAGTTAGACAGAGCTATTGCCACAGATGATCCACCCCACCTTTAAATGAAACCAATAGAGAACCAACACCAGGTTTGCATCAGGYCCACCAGTCTTCAACTGGAAGCAGATGAAGACATCTTAGCATTATTTTTGGCATTAGTGGAGCTTGTTCAGCRAATTAGTGGTTACTGAACCTAACTGATTAGCTGTTTCCACCACTGGTTTCCAACTATCTKGTTGAAGTATGGAAACATTTCTAAAAAGTTGTATAATCATTCTATTATGTTGAGAAAAAAAGGATGTTTAAAATAAATAACAAAAAAAAAGATCCAAAATGGCATTCATTTATATGATGAGTAAATGTAAAGGTCTGACTGCAGYTGTACCTACTAGCTGCCTACGCAAACCTGCCTTTTCTGGGTGTGTAGGACTCRTGGCAGACTGCAGCGCAGCAGAATTCATCTGATTCCCTGGAGTAAACGTACACAAACACTCAAACCAAAATCCAACTGAAAAAAGGATACGGCAGAAGGCTGAGTGATGCATTTGATAAATAATGCAAGCAATCAGCAATATCGAGGCATTTCCCCCCGTTTTTGCATGATGCCCCACTTTTGACATATGGAGAAAGTCAAGTACTCCCCCACCCCCCTTTAGCTGTGTGACGACTCAAGGTGGTGAAATAGGCCCCATTATTATGGGTTCTTACACAACAAGAAAAGATCATCTCTTCCATTTACCGATGAAACGTAAGAAGGGTATTGACATTTTCGCAGCAATACATGAAGTCAGAAATCTAAAATGTTCTGCTTTAAGAGGGTCAGTGGGTCGTTTTGGAGAAAAAGAGCACTTTTCTAAATAAGTGATGCGGTTACCTTGCATTCACCATCACATACTTTAAGCTATTACCCTTTTCGAAGAGCACATCACACAGAAACAGTTGCTAATTCTGAAGCCTTGAGGACAGACATTATACTGAGATTGACTAATCAGTCTGCTGAGATGGAAAGGCCTTCATTCCGTTGCCTCTTTGTCAAGAACAGGCTATTTTGGTCACCCTCATATTGATAACACAGTATACCGGGATTGAGCGGAGCGTTTTCAAGTACCGTGGTATCCAAACCCTTCCTCATTGCTTTTTTTTTTTTCTTGAGACACTGTCCATTAGTTTTAAGTAGAGCACCTGGGTATTTTTCATCCCTCAAGGTGTGCGGCGAGACACAATCCAGCCCTCGGCCAATGCTTTAGATCACAACTGGCGTCTCCAAGCTGCCACGGTCATTCCCATTTCTCAAAGGTTGTGAAGTGTGCTGCTGGGCCCTGTAGGAGCCCCATTTGTGAAGCTGTCTGTTGGGTCAGATAAGATACTTTTTATGTATTATCAGGTTGATCGAGATAAACAGGACATTCAGGAGATGGACAGAGGGAGGGAAGCGATTTAAAACCCCRTTGTCTTTGTCCCAAGGTTTTCTGCTTTTGTCCTTGCGCAGCATATTTAACCGACATACTACCACTGAATTGGTMGTGAATATTCTGTATGTAATGTATCAGATAGACTAAAATGTCAAGAAAAACCYAGTTTTGAATCATTAATAAAAACTTAAAGAAAACCACTTTTTATTATAAAGTGGTAACAACATAAACAGCACAAAAAAGTAAGGAGTTTTGTTTTTGGTGGATTATTTCTTTGATGTAACGATGCTGCTTGACAATAAAATCTTCGGGCGCTTTATTGGCAGCAACTGGGGGTACTAGAAGCTCAAAACAAGTGTCAAGAACAACTGCAAAATAAGCTGTTTGGCAGAGAGAATATGCTCAACCCACAATTGCATGTTCCTTACAAATTGTCACTATTTAAAAGGGAAATTAATAGGTGATATAAGATTTATTACCAAGAAGAATTGTTACAAAAAAGGAAAATCTACCAAACACAACTTTTCCTTATGTTTGGGCATTGTCCCAATGAGGAAATTGTTTTGAACTCATCGTCATTGTCCCACAAAACGTTCATACATATTTATCATCATTYGTCCATTGCATCGAGAAGTTGACCAGTGACATTCAGGGTTTCGTAATTGGTCTGGGTTTGTGGCCCGAAAGAACGTCCCACATATCGAGCACATGTGGTCRGTAGCCTCTGTTGAGGTGTTTGCTGTCCCCTCGCTTTGACCTTACCAAGTCAAGTCATTTAAAGGTTTCAACTAAGCTATATTCATTTTCCAGTGTTTCCATTTTCCTAAATTCCTCAATAATTACCATTTACTTGAATTTGAAGCAGTCGTGGTGCTGCTGTAGCTTGTAGTTATTGATTGACGATTCTTTTAAAAGCAGTGTTTACTGCAGCCAGACAGACCCTGTAGGTCAACGAGGGTATACATTTGGTTGCGCATTAACCCGTAATTTAGTCACGTTTTTCATTTGAACGTTTATGATTTAGTGGAACGTTTGGCACTGCTGCACTTTATGTAGTGGCAAAGACAAMCAGGAGGCTGTAAAAGTCTGAGGCTGAACAGTTAAACTTATCAAACTCAGACTGCAGCTGCACGTGACGAAGAAACGCCGGTGTAAAGGCAGAATACTTCTTTGAGCTCGGGCCATAAAGCCCTCTGAGAATACCAAGGTGAAGCCTTTGTTTTCTTTCAAAGAAACTCTGTTCTGCTCAACATTAACCACAACCTTGCTTTGTCCCCCTTCCTTCTCCAGACTCCCATTCGGACGACTTTGATCCAGCCTCCACAAAGAGCAAGTATGACTCCATGGATTTTGACAGCTTGCTGAGGGAGGCCCAGTGCAGCCTGAAAAGGTAACCCGGTTCTGTGGCGCCCGCTGTTTGTCACAAGGAGGAACTCCTCATACCTCACCGTTGTTTCTCGCTCCTATCGACGACGAGACCACCAGAAGTTTTACGCTCTGCCTTGGAGCAATCTATATAGACCTGCATCGGTAGAAAAAAAATGAATATATTAAAAATAAAGTTTACATGAACACGGCTGCTGGAGAGCGGTGAGAGACGTTGGGTTCTGAGAGACGCCCGTGGATCCTCAGAACCTGGTTTTAATGCACTCTACTGCTGTATAACAAGAAAGAAGGAAGAACTTGAAGGATTTCTTTTTCTCCAAGCACTACAATACCCATAATTCTTTTTTGGGGTGAAGACATGCAGCTTGTTCAGCCAGATTTTGTTTTCTTCGCTGTTGATTTTTATTTTAATTTTTTACCCTTTTTTTTTAAATCTGGCATTGGATCTGGTGTTACATAACAAGCTAGAATATAGGGAATAGTGTCTTGGAGGTAAAAACTTATGAAGGTAACATTGTTGTCTACATTTTATTTAAGAAATGTAGCTGTGCATTTACAAATACTATAAAAAGGTATCTTTTTTATTTTATGTACATATCAAAGTTCTTTATTTGTTACAGCTATGCACTGTAAAACGCAGCCTTTTTTTAAAAAAAGAAAAAGAAAATTTCTTAATTCTGAATGTTGATCTGTAGTAATTACAATACTGTAAAACATATTGTACACCTACATGATGTTTGAAAGACATGATATGATTGTAAAAAAAAAAAGAAAAAAGAAAAAGTAGACATTGCTCATTTTGCAGGAGCGTGTTTAAAGTCCTTTTTTAAGTTATTTTGTTGGGGAAAAAAGTCAACCATGTATAGTTTTCTCTGTTGATAATCAGTGTTTTTGCTTATACAACCAGTGTAAAGTACATTTTTAAACACGTTTTTCATGACTGTATAAAAAAGACCCCATTTTAAAAAAATATTTATCATTACTGAATTGTTTCCTAAAATTAAATATTGGTTTTAATTTCTTTTTAACGTTTCTGTGATTACATGAAATCGACATTTTAGGCTTTCAAATCAGCACAGACATATTTATGTATTTATTTTTAATATTTTATTCGAAAAAAAAGATATATATTTATGGACTCCATTTTGCATGGTGTACCTCAATTTGTTTTTTCTATTTATGTTGTGATGATTGATTTATGTGATCTAACTTGCAATCATGAGACAGGGTGTAAAGCAAATGGGTCGGTGGGATAATTTTACCTTCTATGCCTTCCAAAACAATCGAAACATTCAGCAAATCAAACCGTCAGACTTATTATTATTTTTATTTATTTTTAATTTTTTGGTAACCCACCTCCAATATTGAACAGATCTACAAGTTACAGATTTGGGGAGTTTTCCTACTTTACTCAAACCGTGAAGCAATAAA